AATGGCACGAGCGGGATTCGAACCCACGATCTTCGGCTAGATACGCCGCTGCTCTACCACTTGAGCTATCGTGACCTCGATCCACTCGGACACTAAATTCCCATCCTCAAAAGGTAGGGTTGAAATGGAAAGTTAGTGTCCGAGTGGATCGAGATCACGATAGCTCAAGTGGTAGAGTAGCAGTGTATCAAGCCGAAGGTCGTGGGTTCGAAACCCGCTCGTGCCATTGACGTTTTTATCTCAACTAAAACCTTAATTAATTGTAATATATTAATTGGTCAAGCGGACCACGAAATTAGAGAATTTAACAAATAATAGTCTTTTCACGACCTTTTTAAATAACCAAACAATTATTGAACCCTGTGTAGCCATGTCACAGTTTTATCTAATTTGGAAGCAGTCCGATAGACCGCGCCAGTACTTATGGAAGAAAAGAGGGATGCAGCCGCGAATCCCATAACTTTTTCTTGAATGAGAATAAATGAATAAACCTAAAATCTCTATATTGCCTACGTCATCTTACGTGTGTTCGTATAATTTAAACAATGTTTATACATTCCAGGCCCAGAAGATGATCTCAATAAAGATCGAAACGTTGGCACGGTAAAGAAAGTGTTTTTCTAAAACCAACGTCACACCAGACCGCATCTCACGATCTCCGAATAATAAATAATTAACGGTCATTAAATACTAAACATTAACATAGTACATTGTACTTCTTTGACAAAAGAGAACGTCCTATAAGTATATCAGATGTTAAACAAGTTTTATGATGCCATTTTAAAATTCTTCATTCAATTCATATTTCTTCGTGGGTTTTCCTCGTCTCCATATGTATAACAGCCTATAACCAAAAATCTGCTGGGTTTTGATCCTTCGGTATAAAAAAACTGTAGAACCCCTACGAATAGGTTGCAAAATCGAGGTAAAATTACACCTCATATACATAAACAGTACACTAATTATACAATAATTGTAAACGTTTATTTTTTAAATATGTGAATTATTGGTTAAATATCAAAATTCAGTTTTAAACAACTGACATATGTATAGAGAATATTCTAAATTTTATTACTCATTTGCGTTCGTACCATTGAGACGTTATTAGAATATTTACATAATTGCCTTTGCTGGCTATGGGTCATTATTATTAATTACGAATCCTGTCATTTAATATTCATCTACAGGGATGATTTGAATTAACGAAGTAAGATTATGGATTATATATTTATAGTTTTGAAATAGGTTTACAATGCGATTTACCCTGGTGCAATTTTAAAACGGTGGTGACAACACGCGTGGTACATCAGCGTCCCGTGTGATTGGTGAATTTGTAAGCGGCACTTGAACAACTTCCAGAATAGTCGAGCAGCAGAAAAAGTCGTCCCTGTTAATAGTAAAAAGGAGTGAAAAGCGGACTCCTCTAACAGGAAAACTCACTTAGAGCACGAGCGCACTTAGTCACACCTCTCCTCGCCCCTCGACCTACGGGAGCCTTACTTGCAGGGTTGCGGGCCGGACATTAAAATAAAATGAGGCCGAAAACGTTTAATATGCTTTCCATTCGGTCGTGTGAACTCGTGGAAGTTGATGATTTCAGCTCTGGAAATAATTAGAATTGGAGAGATAGAAAACTGGGGTGGTTTGAATATTTAACTTCCCACTCTTAACAATCTTCGCATTTTTCATAATTTTAAATAATTGTGAAGCTCATTAAAAAAAGTAGAAACTAGGAATAGAAAAGAACCAATTCAATTATAATTAAATATACAAGGTGTTCGGCTACCCGTAGATTCTAAATCCAAAATGGAACTAAAAAGTCCTAATCTCAATCGTTTCTGAGTTATTTCCTTTTTCTGATTTTTTAAGATTTCACGGCCTTGCATCAAATAAACAATGACAACTACAAAACTAAAAGGTTTTGGACAAATCCGTTGAGATCATTGAAAACTACGTTAAATTTCGAATAAGATGTGATCAATACTAAACTTGTAAAATAAGTGTTTTAGTAGCGAGAACTTTGAAAAACTATTCAAAAAATTACATAAAAAATTACTCAATTCACTAATTTTGTTCATTAATAACTTACAATTAATTAAGGTTTTCAGTTGAGATAAAAAAGTCAAAGGCACGAGCGGGATTCGAACCCACGTTCTTCGGCTTGATACGCCGCTGCTCTACTGAAAACCTTAACTAATTGTAAGTTATTAAATATCAAGCGGACCACGAAATTAGTGAATTGAATAAGTTTAAAATGAAGTATACCAGTATACCTTCACTAAAGCTCTCCGTGGCCATTTCATTTGTCGCTGACAATCGAATTGATTACACGACATTTGAAAAATGGCGAAAAGGAGGGAAAATTCAAAAGGTGAGGTTGAGGTGGGAAGTTGGTGTCCGAGTGGATCGAAGTCACGATAGCTCAAGTGGTAGAGTAGCGGCGTATCAAGCCGAAGGTCGTGGGTTCTAATCCCGCTCGTGACACTGACTCTTTTATCTCAACTAAAAAGTTTAATTAATTGAAAGATATTAATTGGTCAAGCGGACCACGAAAACTAGTGAATTTAATAAATTTTTACTTTTTATCAAGAATTTCTCGGTTATGAAATACTGGGAGATATGGCGCTTAGAGAAAAATTGCCCCTAACAATGCGCATTATACACAAGTACTTAGTTTTGCAAAAGTTCAGTTTATCATCAATACAACATTAACGTTTAATTGTCAAAAATTTAATTGTTAAGTAGAAACGGATCCTCGGTCCTTGATCGCTGGAGGGCCTCTCGGATGACAGAATCCTCAGGGGAACTTCATCTCTGAATCCAGATTTAGGTGACTGATGGCACAGTACTGATCAGTATGCAACATTGGATGGTGTTGATCCTTGGCCCTTGCAGATGAGGTTGTGTTTAAGACCTGAGTCCTCGCTAACGAGGCTGTTCATGGAACTTGTAAAAGTTTAAGATTTTTTGTTTCTGTAAATAGTGAGAGATATGGAAGTTACAGAAAAGAGTACTTACAGAAACAATGACCGTTATGCGTATGTGCTTAGTAGTTCAAAGGCCAGTTACCACCAATGTAAAATTAAAGTTTAATTGCCAAAAAAAAAAATTCTGTTTCAAATGGTTTAAAAAATAAGCTACTGAGTTATCATTAATTTTGACACGTCCTATACGAAATAATGAAACAAAAAAAGACTGGTATAAAATTGAAGCGTAATGGAAATTTTCAAAAAATTAAATGTTCAAAGAGGACACGATGTCAGGGTTGCATTCTTCAGGAAGATGGGAATTTAATTAAAATTGTTGAAGCTTTTGGTTTTTCCTTTTGTTCAGTTTTGTACCAACGAGCTTTTTGTATACTTTTCATATTATTTACATTATTAAATTCACTAGTTTTCGTGATCCGCTTGACCAAATTATATCTTTCAATTAATTAAGGTTTTTAGTTGAGATAAAAAATTTGTCGCCGAGAATCAAATAGATTACACGACATTTGAAAAATGGCAAAAAGGAGGGAAAATTCAAAAGATAATTGATTTGTGAAGTTAGTGTCCGAGTGGATCGAAGTCACGATAACTCAAGTGGTAGAGCAGCGGCGTATCAAGCCGAAGATCGTGGGTTCGAATCCCGCTCGTGCCATTGACTTTCTTATCTCAACTGAAAAGTTTAATTAATTATAAAAAATTACATTAAAAATATATAAAAGATACTTGAAGTGTGTTTTATTTATAGTCAGAAACTTTCATTATTATGCAAAGTTGAGTTGAAAAATTAGTGCTACGAGCGGGACTCGAACCCACGACCTAGAAATCTGAAGGTCGTTGGTTCGAATCTTGTTCGTGACGATAATTTTCCAACTCGACCAGATTTTGCATAACAATACGTTGTTTTGAAAAAATTAATATTAATAAAAAATAAAAAACCTAAGGAAACTTCAAATGAATATATTAAACGTTTTTTAATTTTAATTTGATAATTGAGGTTTTTTTTAATTTTCCACTTTACCAATCCGTCAGCCACGGCTTTTTCCTTTCCTCCAGAAATTTCATCTTTGAAAAATGTAATTAAAAAAGAAATTCTAACACTAAATGGAGTACGTTTTCTGAAATTTGCTCTAGGTTTGGAAATAATAGTTTAGAATCACCATAAGAAGTTTTTCAACTTTGAAAAAAAAATTCAAAGTTCTCGCTACTAAAACGCTTATTTTTCGAACGTTTGCAAGTTTAGCGTTGATCACAACTTATTGGAAATTTAACGTAGTTTTCAATGGTTTCAACGGATTTGTCATAATCTTTTAATTTTGGAAGTGACATTGCTTATTTGAAGCAAGGTAATGAAATCTTAAAAAATCAGAAAAAAGGGAAAAACTCCGAAAACTGTTGAGATTCGGACCATAGTTAATTAGAACTTGTTGGTTCCATTTTTAATGTAGAATCTACGGGCAAAGTTTGTAACAGGAGTAGCCGAACACCCCGTATACAAAATTAACAAAAATCAATTAAAAATTAATGTGGGCATTACGGCTTCTGTTCAGGAGCCACTTCTTAAACCATTTTCTCTTCGATTTTTTGCTTTTAATATGTAAATAAACAGAAGAGTAGCACAAGAGATCGTCATCCATTTTGAGAAGGTAATTCTGGTTGACGTTCGGAGCGACTGGCTTTGGAGCGGTCGTGAATGCCCACTCAAATTTCAGGCACTCCAAATGGAGCTGTACGGCTTGGCGTGGTTCCATTTGGAGCGATCGTGAATGGCCACCTTTACTAAGCTGGACGTTTCAAGCATTAAAGAAGAAGAAGAAGAAAAATAACTTTATTCTGGGACTGGTGTCCCCTTAGAATAATTTACATGAGACAAAATATAATAACCTTCTATGAAGTCACATAATTAAAAAAAAAAAGGAAAAAAAAGATAGATAGAAATCGTGGCACAATGTATGCCAGTAAGGCGGGCCAGAAGAGAAAATTACGAGGTATATTAAACAAAGACAAAAATAATAAATGTTATCGTGAGGTCTCTGCTTGGAGGGAGAGGAGGTGATTATAAAGATGGGATTTAAATGAGGANGAGTGGTCTTCAGGAAGTTTGGTTCGACGAAAGCGCCTTCTTGCAGCTTCCCGTCTTTTAATTAGGGCTCTAATTTCGTCGTTTAACCAAGGAGAAGGAGGACGACGGATAGTGTGGGATTTTAGGGGGGCATGTTTGTTAAGGATATTGAGGAGATTGGAGGTCAGGAAGCCGACCATGGAATCGATGGATGAGCCAAGATAAACGTTGGCCCATTCGATCGATTCCAGATCCGGCCTCAAAACCTCGAAAGAAAGGGTATTAAGTTGACGGAACCTTATGGTTTTGGGTGCGGGACGTGGGGTAGGAATATTATATGTGATTTGGATCAAGTCGTGGGAGGAGAGAAAGGGGATAGGGTGTTGGGAGGAGGATAGAACTTTATCGGCGGAATCCACAACCATAAGATCAAGCCAGGTGGATACAGAAGCAGTGTGATGTGTGGGATTAAATGGAATACATGAGAGATTAAGGGAGAACCATAGATTTTCAAGGAGTCTTTTGTTGTAGGAGGCAGAGGAATAATTTGCGTTGAAGTCACCTGTGATGATCACGTTGGTATATAGAGGGGAGTAGTTGTACAGGGTGGAAAGGAAGTAATTAGGGAATGGAACCTGAGGGGGTCGGTAAACAACTACAAAAAGGAGACGGTGGGGAAGGAGGGATATTTCACCAAAAATGAAATCTATATGGGGAGATTCGAGGATTGGGGATGTTTCTAGGATGCGACATTGTAGGCTGTTGTGGACAAATAAGCAAACACCGCCGCCGGTCCGGCCTAGCCTATCGTGCCGGAGAAGGGAATAGTTAGGTAAGGATACTGAGTAGGAAGGGACGTTTGGTTTAAGCCAAGTCTCGGAGACAGCAATTATGTGGTAGAAGTTATCAGTGAAATGTACAAGGAATTCATCGTAATGTGCAGGGAGGGACTGGGCGTTGACATGACAGACCGTTAAACAATAGGTCATGTTTTCGGATGGGGCAAAGGATAGGAAGCTGGTTGGGAAAAGAGGGAACAGAGACCTTTACAATTAGCATTACATAGTTGTTACAGTTGTACATCAAAACACCACAAATAGTCTGGTGGCGATGTTCGATACCGTCATCTCTAGCAATATATTGTTTGACCTGTTTATAATTACAGTGTTTTTTATGTATTGCAGATGTCAATATGGTAGCAGAGCCAAAACCACACCAGACCGGAAGGAAAAGACAGAACGTCGCCAAAACCGGAAACGATTGGTGAGGTTTTTGAATTTACAATGATTACTTACATATTTATTTGTTTTATTATTTTATTGTTTTATTATTGTTTTACTATTACATACCTTTAATGTCATCCTCATAACTATTTTGATATGATGAAATAACATAATTTAGGGACGGTTACGGCTTAGAGCTATGATAGGGATGGTTAGGGGTTAGGGACTTACATTACCTTTGAGTAATAAAAAAAATTAAAAAAGTATCCCAGGGTGATAAGTAAGCTAAAATTAAATACACTTTAAATAACGATGATGCGTATTAAGTATAGAAGAAATCTTACGATTTGGGGGAGGGGTGTGTAAAATTTAAAAGTCCCCGATGTTAACAATTAATGTATTACAAAATTATTTTAAATTCTTTCAATTAATTAATCTTTAAGTAAGGTATTAGATGAGATAAAAAAGTCAGTGTCACGGGCGGGATTCGAACCCACGACCTTCGGCTAGATACGCCGCTGCTCTACCACTTGAGCTATTGTGACTTCGATCCACTCGGACACCAATTTCCCATCTCTTCCCCACTTTTTTTAATTTTCCCTACTTTTGCCATTTTTCAAATGTGTTTGGTCAATCGGACCACGAAACCTAATGGAATTATTCATTTTTTTTACCATTTGGGTCTATTTTAAACAAACTATTTTAACTAAACCATATTTGTCACCAGCTAGACAAACGACGAAGTTTCCTTAGTTAATTTGACTTTTTTTCGTAATAGTGCTATCATTTCCCTTTACTTGGGTCTTTTTCATTTTTTCTTCTTCTTCTATTAATACCGCCAAACAGACCCTCATATATTTGTAATAAGCCCGAATTGTCTGTTTGAATGTTTGCAGACTGTCAAGATGAATATACATTTTCTTTTTTATCAGCCTTTTTTTGTCAAGTTTGTCCACTGTCTTGAATTTGGGAGAACCCAGTCTAAACTTACATTTGTTTGAGACTCAGCAAGACGTTCAATTTTTTCTCAACGCTCCATCCTTTTACTCAACATTTGTTTTCTTTGTCCCACATAGATATATCAAAAACATAAAAAATTCCAATAGTTTGATCCTTTTCCTTTAAATGGGTGTGTGATATATGCAATATATTCATAGGATATTCTTATGTCCTGCCGGATTGAACTTTATTTTTTAAATATTTCAAAAACATTTCATGGATGTATGTCTGCCAATCAGGGCATACTCCATATTTATTCTGCTACCCTGACTTATGCACTTTCGTTAAGTTGGTGTATTAATTTCCTAACAAAGGGTAGAAGTTACTTTTTAAATTTTTATTTAGAAATCGTGAGATTAGGTCTGGTGTGATGTAGGTTTAAGAAAAACATTTTATTTATCGTTCCAATGTTTCGATCTTTATTGAGATCATCTTCAGGCATGAATGATCTCTGAATGATGAAGATGATCTCAATAAAGATCGGAACGTTGGCACGATAAAGAAAATGTTTTTCTGAAAACTACATCACACCAGACCGCATCTCACGATTTCTAAATAAATATCGATTAACGGTCACTAATTACCACACATTACTTTTTAAAATTTCAAAAATCGGTTTCTCGTTTTGAATGTTTGAAATGTTATTACCTTGGCCCTTGAATTTTTAAATGTTTAAAGGTGTTTTTTTTAATCATCTGTCAATCAGCGCTGAAGATGATCTCAATAAAGATCGAAACGTTGGCACGATAAAGAAAATGTTTTTCTGAAACCTACATTACACCAGACCGCATCTCACGATTTCTAAATAAATATCGATTAACGGTCACTAATCACCACACATTACTTTTTAAAATTTCAAAAATCGGTTTCTCGTTTTGAATGTTTGAAATGTTATTACCTTGGCCCTTGAATTTTTAAAAGTTTAAAGGTGTTTTTTTAAATCATCTGTCAATCAGCGCAGAAGATGATCTCAATGAAGATCGAAACGTTGGCAAGATAAAGAAAATGTGTTTTTAAAACCTACGTCACACCAGACCGCACCTCACGATCTCCAAATAATCTTTCTTATTTTTTAAATATTTCAGTCATGTATTGTCAATTGTTTGTAATTACTTTTGCCCAACTTTCAAGTAGCATGTCTATTCCTTTAGCATAACAATTTTCATCTGTTGAATCCAAGAACGTTTGAACAGTTTCAAATTTTTGGCTATTTAAAAATTTTTGCAATGACCGAAATGAAAGTAGTCACAAGGAGAAGTCCGGAGACTATGGCGGATGTGATTATATTTGCCAATTCAGATTAGTTAATAATTTTTTGGTCTTCATATCAGTGATGTCGTGGGCGTTGTGGTGATAGTCTACGACATTTCTGTTTTGCTAGTGCAGGCCGTTTTTGCTTTATTTTAACGTCTAATCGGGTTAGATGTTCACAGTACGGTTAATTATTAACCGTTTAACCTTCTGCTAAAAGCTCGAAATGCAAAGGGCCATGTCCCGCCAAATAAATGCACGGTGTAGGTTTTTCTCGTGCATTTGTGGTTTTAAACAACTGGACGCCGTTGACCGGGTTGGCAATAAATTTTTTTGAGGTTACAACAAAACCAAGCAACAAATCACAAAACCTTTGGGTGTGGTTTCCATTGGTTGAATGCGGAACAGACCGGGTTCACAGCCGAGCGGTAAGATATTTATCGCTCAGATACACGATTTGTATCCTAAGTCGAAGCGATAAGCCAGCCAATCACAAAACCAAAGACCTCACTCTTTGAATTTACCATAACCTTCGCAATATCGTATGACACTGAAGAGACAAGCAACACTCTAGATACACTAATCTTACGACACATGTCGCAATCGTACAGGTGTGAACGAATTTTGTATTTTCTACAGGTTTTTATAGGCCTGAGCGATGCGTATCTTAAAGTAGTACGCGCGATAGAAATCGACATGGGTAAAGTATCGAGTATTTTCTTTCGATACCGAGTAATTTTCGTATCGAATATTGTCATTCGATACAAGTACTATATCGAATACTTTTTGTAGTATCGGAAATATACTAAAATAGATTTTTCGTCGTGTGTTCAAGTAATATTGAATTGTTATTTACCGTTGGTAACTTATCTCTCATCAAACTGGGCATTGACTAATTACCTTTTTAAAAAAGATGGTTCCTACTCACATTAAGTTGTTTTGCAACGATCCGGATTTCGAGCCCTTTAGCTCATCGTCAGGTTGAAGGGTTCCGTCTCTCGACATGAATTGCAGAAGTGAACCCGCTGATACCCCCGCCAACGCGACGTTCCAATGAGGAGCTGGGTTTTTAATGGCGCTCAATTTGAACGTGCGAAAAGCGGGAATTATAACACAAATAAATATTATACTAGTAAATACTTAATATTATTAAATTACTATAAAAATAATAACAATTAAAATAATTATTTTTATGCATTAATAATATAACAGATTTTGATCTACCTCCCATTTTAAATATGTATATAAATAATATTAAACGTCCAAATAATTAAACTAATTATTGTAATTGTTATTATGTTTTATAATAATTTAATAATATTAAGGTATTATTCTAATTGTTTTATTTTTATTTTTTATCATTAATCACTAATTTACAATTAATTTCTTACAGTATTTACTATTACAATTGTTACTTGTGTTATAATTCCCGCTTTTCGCACGTTCAAATTGAGCGCCATTAAAAACCGAGCTCCTCATTGGAACGTCGCGTTGGCGGGGGTATCAACGGGTTCACTTCTGCAATTCATGTCGAGAGACGTGTTTGTGAAACCCTTCAACCTGACGATGAGCTAAAGGGCTCGAAATCCGGATTGTTGCGAAACAACTTACTGTGAGTAGGAACCATCTTTTTTAAAAAGGATTGAATTCCACACTCACCCCATCATTTATAATTTCTATTGACTAATTACTGTTAAGAGCGACTTCTAGCGGCATATGACAACAAAGTTAATCTAGATTTTTAATTGGTCGTTGGTAACTCTGAGGATAATTCTGGTAACTCATTATTCTTTCCCGCGTCGCACCTCGGACTTTCAATTTCAGTAAATTCTTATAAAATTTTTTTGTCTTCAAGTCCCTAAAAAGTGTTCACCTTGTCTCCTCCCAAACGTAAGATATGAGGTTATTTTATTAAGAAAACTGAATCGTCTTGTAAACTCTGGGAAATACAGTGGGAATACTCTTCTCTTTTCAAACATTTGAAAACCAAACACCCTTGATCAATTTTCTCAAAACTCGATAACGATAAAATTGAAATATCAATTATGTTGAAATTGTATGAAAATATACTTAAAAATGAAAAAAAAAAACTGCGATTGCTTGATTATTTTAACGCATGAGCGTATTTTAACCAAAGTACACAATAGTGTTGATCATTTATGAATAAACAAAAATATGAGTAAGTACTCGTTAGTATCGAATAATTTCTATCGATACTTGAGTAGAATCGATTATTTCGATATCAGTATCGAATATTTTCGGGTATCGCACGACACTACTAACAAGACAATTATCGTATATCGCTTACGACCTAAAGATGTGAATCTTATCGCTTTGGTGGTACCCTTTCTTTAGTGGTTCTCGGGTCGTCAAAAGGAGATTTTCTTCTAGCCTATGATTCAATAGGTCTTCGTCAACCTCAGGACATCCACTGCGTGAATCAAGAACAAAATTTCCTTCTCTAAATCGAGCAAACCACCGTTAGACTTTATTAATATTTACAGCATTAGTACCGAATACTGCATACATATTTTTATTTGCCAAAGTTGCGTTGTTTCCTTTTTGGAATTAATAACGTAAACCATATCTTAAATGCGTTTCATCCAAAGACATGTTTAACCTACTAAATTATTCGACACGATTAAATAATTAATTATACTCGTTATGTAAGGTCCTGGTTGAGATGAAAAGTTAGTGTCACGAGCGGGATTCGAACCCACGGTTCTCGGTTTTCGCCGCTGCTCTAACACTTGAGCTATCGTGACGAGTGTTAGGGCAGCGCCGTATTGA